AGTCCCTGAATCTTTTTATTTATTTTGGTGGCACTGAGGTTTGTACTCAGAGCTTCACACTTCAAAGTAGATGTTCTACCACTTGAGGCACAATTCCAGTCCATTTTGTTCTGGATATTTTTGGAGATGGGATTTTGGGAACTATTTGATTGGGCTGCCCTCAAACCATGATCCTCCCAATCTCAGACTCCCAAGTAGCTAGGATTATAGGTGTGAGCTACCAGTGCCTGGCTAAGGTCCCTGAATCTTACTGCATTTTCATTTGCAATGTTGATTTTTCTCCTCTTTTGGCCAAACTACATGGATTCTTCCTTCTTAAATCCTTTCTCCCTACCAAATTTTAATCCCTGCTGCTATCCTAATCTGGAATAATAGCAGTATAGTGATAAAACGACAGGCTTTACAGATTACCTGGGTTCAATGCCATCTCTAATGGAAAAATGAGACCTGTTGAAACTATTCTAAGAATGAGGGGAGCGGTAATAAAGGAGAATGATGGTGGGGGTCAATTTAAGATACATTGTGAGCACCTTTGTAAATGTCGCAATGTACCCCTCGTACAAAAATAATATAATAATTTTTAAAAATGCCATCTCCAACACTTGCTGGGTGACTTTGAGCAAGTCACTAAATTTTTTTGTGCTTCCATTTCATCTGTAAAAGGATAATAGTATGTAATTTAACAGTTATGAGGATTAAATCTGTATACATTGGGCTTTGTATTGTGTTTGTAATTTAGCAAGTGCTGAATAAAATATCATTCCAGGGAGCATGGAGAAGTTAATTATCTTATGAACTTGGCTAGTCCCCCCCATCTGATTTGCTGATTTGGAGCTGGAGGCTGCAGTATCTTCCTTTTGCTGAATATCCTAGTGGGCCAGGGTGCTTGAGGGATGGGAACAAAGAAAATTATTTTCTACCTTTTAGTTTCTCAAGGGTAAGAACTGAATTTGAGTATCTGTAGTACTTAGAATTGACAATTCCAGATATGTGTTTAAAGGAATTGGTGTTTCCTTAACATTTTCCTGAACTGAATGAGGAGAGAATATTCCATGTCTCCCCTTTGATATTCCTGATATGGTCAACTAGGTCCTGGGCTGAGACTGACAACAGGTCACAGTTTTTAGACCAAAAGATTTCTGTTATTAGTTGACCTCTCAATGAAAAAATATCAGCCAGTCCAAGTGCAATGAGAGCTCACCCTCTACAGTGACTTGCTAAGTGTTTGCCCTTGGCCTCATTTCCTTTTGTTCTTTTTTTTTTTTTTTTTGCGGTACTGGTGCTTGAACTCAGGACCTTCACCTTGAGCCACTCTGCCAGCCGTTTTTTGTGATAGGTATTTTCAAGATAGGGTCTCTCGAACTATTTGCCAAGGTTGGCTTAGAACTGCAATCCTCCTGATCTCTGCTTTCTGAGTAACTAGGATTACCTGAGTAGCTGGTGGCATGAGCCACCAGCACCCAGCCCCTTGGCCTTTTTTTCCAAGCTCAAAAAATCCTTATGACCCTGAATTCTGAAGAACCTACGATTGAGGCTCAAACAGATTTAACACCTCATACATAGCCAACTCTAGAAAGGCACACTGTTCTTTGATGAGGATTTGGTAACAGCAAAAATCATGAAGGGTACAGACTCTGGAGTCATACTGTCTGGATTTAAATCCTAGCTCTGTCATTTATTAGTGTGTGGTCTTTAGTTACTTACTCTCTGTTCCTCAATGTTTCTTTTCTTCTTCTTTTTTTTTGCAGTGCTGGCATTTGAACTCAGGGCCTCACACTTGCTAGGCAGGTGCTCTATCGCCTCAATTTCTTTCAACAGATTGTTGTGAAAACTAAGTTACTTTATCTATTTCTGCATATATCTGTAATGAGTTTAGAAAACTCATTACACTTAGCTACTTACTACATGTGTAGTAAGTAGCTGAAAAGTGTTAGCAATTATTGTTCCTGAAAATAGTATGAATCAAATCATATCCCTAGCTGGGCACTGGTGGCTCATGCCTGTAATCCTACTCAGGAGGCAGAGATCAGGAGGACTGAGGTTCGCAGACAGCCTGGGCGAATAGTTGGTGAGACCCTATCTTTAAAAAAACAACAAAAAACCAAAAAGCCCATCACTAAAAAAAAAAAAATAGGCTGGTGGAGTAGCTTAAGGTATAAGCCCTGAGTTCAAGCCCCAGAACCACAAAACAAAACAAACAAAAACAAAAAATCACATCCCTATATGGTGAAAGATATTATAAGAAATCATATGGACCTGGGAGTGGTAACACAGCAGGTAATCCCAGCACTGGGGAGGAGGTTGAGGCAAGGCAATCCTGAGTTTGAGGTCAGTTTGGGCTACATACAAGTTGCAGACCAGCCTGAGCTAAATACTGAGACTTTGTCTCAAAAAAAATCATATGGGAGGGCTGGGGATTACATCCATGGTAGCATATACAAAGCCCCAGATTCAACAACCCCGACCAAAAAAGAAAGATTATAAGAAATCAGATGGGAAAATATTGCCTTTTAGGCAAAATTATTTTTCACAAAGTATTTAATTAAGTCCTAGGGTTTTTTTGTTTTTGGCTTTACAACTTAGAATTTCTACTTAGGATTACTGAAATGTGAACACATAAATACCAATCTCTCACCAGGTTGGGGCTCAGCTCTACCTTTCTGGGGATAATTATCAGGAAATGATCCACTAGGGAAGGTAGTGAGTCCCGGGCCTCTCATACTTAGGACAGGAGGTGCTTCAAATAGTTTCTTCCTCAGGCTATTAGGAATTCCTACTTGGGCCGGGAACAGGAGCACAGGTGCAGGAATACTTCCTCTTAGTCACCTCCACTAATATAGCTGCAGACTTCCTCTCCCCAGCTCTGAGCTTCGGGGTTTAGGAGGTAGCTTTCATCCTGACAGAAAACAGCAGCTGGAGTAGAGACTGCAAGTTCCAGCTGGCTGTCCTGGAGAATACAGCAGTGCCCTCTGCTGTGAGGCATGCACATAGCAATCCAGGGCAGGAACATGTTGGAACTTGGAAAAAATTAGTCCAGCACCAGGCCTGGACTGTCCTGTATCTATAACCTTCCTTCCCACTCACTCACTTTTAAAAAGTTACCATGCTCCAGAACCTGGGAAGATGTTATTTTTGTCTCTATTCTAGTCTAGGCTTCAGAGTCCTTCCTCCTGGGCTGGTGGAGTGGCTCAAGTGGTAGAGTGTCTGCCTTGCAAGTGTGGTGTGAGGCCCTGGGTTCAAACCCCAGTACCGCTCAACAAAAAAAAAGAGTGCTTCCTCCTTTCCTAGTCCTGGTTTATCAGTACTGCTAGGTCAATGTCAGAGAGTGACATGTTTAGTCAATCCCTCTGCCACCCCAGGCCCTGTAGGGAATGTATCTCACTAAACAGATAAAAGCCTATCAACCTCAAAGAGCTCTAGGAAAGGAAAGCCTGTGATGTTGCTAAAGAATGCAGTTTAAAAGTTCTTAAGGCTAAATGATCTTTCTTTGTACTTTTTAAAATTCCTATCTTCATATATCACAAATCTCTACTTTAAACCACCTTAAATCCTAAACTTGTTCTTATGAATTGTAAAATGGAATGGAGAAGAGTTTGGGAAATGGGAAGTTGGAACCCTGCTATACACAAAGAAATTATGAGCCCAACTCAGCTCTATCATCTACCTTATAGAATGTTAGTCATCTTGGTTTTCTGGTCCTAGAAACCACATGGTGCTGAGTGGGAAACACTTTTAAACAACATATTCCAGGGAATGGTCTATGAAAGGAACACCTGTGAGATACTGCTAAAGAATGCCTTTTTGTTGTTTTGTTGCTGCTGCTGTTTTTGACAGGATCATATTATGGAGCCTCAGGCTTCAGCCTCCCAAGTGCTGGGATTGCAGGCATGTACCACCAAACCCAACTCATGGATACAGTTTGAAAGTTTTCCCTTATTTCTAGAGCAATAGTTTTCATGCCTCAGCATGCATCAAAATCAACTGAAAAGACAGATTTGTAAAGCCCAGATTTTTGAGCCACACGCTCAAGTGGTAGAGCACTTGGCTAGCAAGCATGAAGTGCTGAAATCAACCCTGGTACTGCAAAAAAAAAAAAAAACAACCCAACAGGTTAAGAAATCTAACTTTTTTTTTTTTTTTTTTGCAGTACTGGGTTTGAACTCAGGGCCTTCACCTTAAGTCACTCCACTATCCCTTTTTTTGGTGAAGGTTTTTTGTTTTAGATAGGGTCTCGAGAACTATTTACCCAGGCTTGCTTCCAACTGAGATCCTCCTGATCTCCACCTGCTGAGTAGCTAGGATTACAGGAGTGAGCCACCGGTGCTGGTGAGTCTAACTTTTAACAGCAAAAGAATAAAGACAAAAAAATGAAAAAGGAGTCTTTCTTTCATTATTTATTTATTTATTTATTTTTCTTTTGTGGTGCTGGAGAGTGAACCCAGGGCTCTGGAATGCTAGGCAAGCACTTGCACTTAGCAACAGCCCCAGTCCCTTAAAGAAGTCTAACTTTGTGATAACCTCCTTCTACAGATCTACAGGTAGAGTGGGCTCAGAATCATTCTGCAAAGCTTCCCCCCAAAGTTTCCTTTGGGGGGTAAAAAAAAGAGGAGTGGGGAGCAAAGAAAGAAAACACAGACAGAAGGTAGGCAAATATCTTGCATAGCCAGAAATCCAGGGATTGAAAGAGGTGTTTGGCTTGTTTGAGAAGACAGGAGAAGTTAGGAAGAAGAAGAATGTAAGAGTTCCCCAAAGCAACACAAATCTCTACACAAGTCAAGGCTACAGTTCTCTTAGAGCCAGCTCCAGGACTCGGCTGCCTGCCAGCAGCAACACTGAAACCTAACCAATCCCCAGGCCTGGGATTTTATTAGTATGACAGCTTGTTGGTTTGCAAATATCTTTTAGCCATCTTGGGTTTAGCCATATAGAAGGTGGCCCCTTTCTGTTCAGGGTCTCTATAGTGTCTTTTGGTGATTCCTTCACTTCTAGTGTCTGATCCACTATAATGGGCTCATGTCCTTCACCAACAGTGTGATCTGTTCCTCTAGCTGCCGTTCCACTTCCTGGACTTTGCTCTGGCTTTGACATTTCAGCAGATCAGCCTGGTGGTTCTGGTGATGCATACGGCAGTAGCTCTGTGGTTCACACACTCCTGAAAGGTAGGGGACAGAATAAGGGATTCCCTAGACCCCTAAACTCTACTACTAAGTATAATAGAGATGCTGCTGCCAGCTATGGCTAAGAAGGGACAGCAATTTCTTCCCAAAAGGCTTTGTAGCACATGGGAGTTGCATGCTAAAGCTAACTCCCTTCAGTCTGAGCTCCCCCAGTGTCTGACCTCCCCCATGTCCCACCCCTTACCATATATTCTGGAAAGAAGTCTCTGTAACCTCCCTTGAGGATATACAGTTCTGGGTAGTACAATGCAGGATACTGGTTCAGAGCCCTGTCCTCTCCTCTCAGAAAGTGGCACCTTTAGAGAAAACCCAGATGTGAGTGGGTTGGAAAGAAATAAGGTCAGTATCTGATGAGCCTTCACTGGGGAGGGGGAGGAAGAACAGACTAACTCCAAAAAGGACCTTCATGCTAGAGATGTAGTTTAGTGGTAGAATACTTGCTTAGCATACCTAAGGCCCTGGGTTCAATCACTAGAAAAAGGAAGGAAGGAAGGAATGGATGGCGGGTGGGCGGGAGGAGACATATTTCATCATGTATGCAAAATGAGGTCCAAATAGTACCTTCCTTCCTCTATTGGGACCTCATCCCCAATCATCTTTCTTTTAGTGCTCCAAATTAGAATTGTAGAAATACCTTTATTCAACCTCCCTAACATTCTTCATATTGCAGTAGACAATATTCATTCATTCAGTCTCTGTATGAACTGGTCTGGGAAGCTTGACTCATGATCTGTTTCCATCACTGGCTATAGCCCATGAAGACACTCACATTCGGGGGCCCTGCTCTGAGGAGAATTCACAGTGGAACACGATGATTATTCCTTTCTGGATGTCCTCGGGGACAATGGGCTTCTTCAGAAAGAAGTCATACAGTTCTTTCTGACTATACAAATTTAAGGCTCCCTGTAGAAAAGAATTTTAATAAGCATTCCCTCAAGGGCATGTGTCAATACTTAGAACTGAGATACTATCCTGGGATATCAGGCCACAAAAACTACAAGATAAGGATCTCCAGGGAAGGGACCTAAGTACATCTCAGTATCTACCCCTAGGGCCTGGGCTAGAGCTTGGAATGAAGTAGATGCTCAATGAATGCTCCTACACTTGAACTGCCTGGAGTTCAAGAGATCACATTTTGAGAAATATCTGTGAGCATTAAGTGATGGCATAGTGTCTCTCAGGCCTTAGACTGATGTTTGGATTCCCAGGCAGGAAACCTTGGCTCCTATAAAAAAGCTAGAGATGAGTAGTAGAGAAGGGAAAGTAAGTTGCTCAAGGTATACACAGAATTAAAATGGTGTGGGGGCAGGGAGAAGTGGCCCAAACAATGTATATGCATGTGAGTAAATGTAAAAGCGATAAAATTCAAAAACAATTAAAAAAAAAAAAGAATTAAAACAGGAACAAAGACTTCTGCCTTGATGTGCTCCAAATGCATTATATCCATCTTGGTTTTAGATTCCACTGCACACTTTGTCCATCAACTCTTCTCAATAGAGACCCATCCCCAGCCCCTCCTCTGCTGATATCCACCACATACCTCACCTGGATGTATCCTCCCAGTACTCATATGGATATTGGCAATCAGTGATGTAAATTCTCTCAGTCAGACCCTGGAACTTTCCCAACAGTAAGGCAGCTACCTGCACGGAAACAATGAGTGAATATCCTACTCACTGTTACTTGGACGGAAAGGAACCTGTCACACAGTTTCTTATGTGCACATTCCTATTAGTGACTCCACTTAGGAGACTTCCTAAGTTACCCCATACTTGAAATGCAGTGCGGGTCAGCTCCCCCCCTCCCCCACATAAGAGGATAAAATGAAGTAGCTTTTGTAGAGAACCAAAATGACCTGGGAACCTTGGTGTTCTCAGGACACCAAGGAAGACCTTATTGAGGCCATTTGTCTGGAAGCAGGTATGGCTGGAATCAGCCTCTCAGGAGGCTTCTGCAGTGGCAGAAGTAGTAGCTAGAGATTCCAATTTTATTAGAAAAGATGGGAAATGGTTCCTTATCTGCCATTACATGAAAAAAGAAAAACTTTCAGACAAAGGTATGGAAGGAAAGGATTGAAATCTTAGAGGAAGAAACTTAAGCTACTTATAGATAGAAGTTGGTTCAGCTTTTTGGAGGAAAATTTGTAAATACATGTAAAAATAAGTGTAGGCCAGGTGTGGAGGCACATGCCTGTAACTCCAGCCACTGGAGGTGGAGGTAGAAGGGTTAGGATAAGGCCAGCACGGGCAAAATTAGCCCAAGACCCTATCTGAGAAACAAACTAAAAGCAAAAGGACTGGGGTTATAGTTAGGGTGGTAGAGGGTTTGCCTAGCAAGCTGGAAACCCTGAGTTCAATCCTCAGTACTGCTAAATAAATGAATAAATAAATGAACATACTTATGCCTCCCCCCACCCTGATTTTTTTTTTTTTTTTGATAGACAGGCACTCTACCACTTGAGCCACTCCACCAGCCCCATAATTACCCTTTCTTTGACCTAGCAACTTCTCTTAACATCTTAACTTGGCTTGGGGATGAAGCTCAATGGTTAAGTGTTTGCATAGCATGCACAAGGGCCTGTGTTGGATCCCCAGGACTACAAAAAAAAAAAAAAAAAAACCAAATAAGTAAAAATACACAAAGAGGTAGACATAATTTGATATTCATCTCAGCACTGACTTAAGTTATATTAGAAATAACTTAAATATTCACTAAGGGGTTTGCTTAAATAGACTATACATGTCAGTATTACATAATATTATACAACCATTAAAATGATGTGTATCTTTTTATTGCTATAGAAAGGTATTTTGATATCTTACTAAGTTAATTGGAATACCACATGTTCATCATGATCCCATTTTAACAAAACATATGCTAGAATATAATTTGGAAGGCTATAAGGAAAATATTACTAGTGGCTATCTCTGGTGCCAAGCTTGTGGGTAGCCTGACCAC